AATTTTTTCTTGATGTTGAAATGAAATCTAAATTGTGTAAAAAAAATATTCTACTATGAACCATGCTAGGATTCGTTGCAAATCATGTTTTACATTTTTTCGTTGCAAATCATGTTTAACATTTTTTCGTTGCAAATCATGTTTTACATTTTTGATGTTCCATTTTTGATGTGAGGCTTTCACGGATTGTATATAAAAATTTTGAGAAAAGATGAATTTCTTATCCTACAGTTGAGTGTCGAGATGTCTGAGGTGGTGATTAATTTGGTGTTTCTTTTAATTCTAATATAGATGTATAACTATGAATAATAGAGAAAACATGGCTTGTAAAGATTGAGTTTGCTCTTTGTGATTTATGATGTTGTATATTATTTATGAATTCTGTTTGTAATTGATACGGTGTTTGATTTGGCTGTGATGGTAAAAACTCATAAAAGAATATTCCGTAAAATGAAGTGATATTACATATGCTTTTCTATAGTGATCAAAATTTGTCTTTTAATCCTTATTTCGGGAAAACCCTGTGTGCATGGACTATTTCCTTTTTCGAATAATTTTGCAATAAAGTTATGACAAAAATGTACCCATCCTCGAGCGTTATCACTTTGTGGATGAATAACAAGGGGAAATATAGAGTCATCGTCGACATTTTTTGTCGTTCTTAATCATTTTTGTTTTGTAGTACCGTTAATAGGTAAATTTCAATGTGCCTTAATGGCTGGTTCCAATTTTATGATCATAACGGTTTATGCATATATGATTTTAAAAGCTGCTTTTACATTTTAATGACGATGGCGATGCGGAAAATATTCTGTTTGTCTAATGGATTGCTTTTTCTATCGAATCTTTTAGGTCTTGAAGTTCTTGCATTGTTGTTGTATCTGATTCCGAAACTGCGCTAATTGTTTTTAAAAATGTTCGTTTTTTATTTTGTTTTGTTTTGCTATTTTTGTCTTTTTCGCGTTTGTGTTTTTGATCTAGTATCACCTATTGTTTGTTCATGTGGTGTAATTACAAGATCATATCTTTTGTCTTTATTAAAACAATTGTTTAGTATTATTGTTTGTTTACTGCCTAAATCATCTCTTGACATAAAGTTTTGGATGATGGGTGCAAAAATCGGAGGCTAGAAATTTTATTCCTTAAACTGCTAGTTCTTAGGGTTTTTGTGTGGTTATCTTGACTTGGGGCATAGATTGTCGAGTTTGACGGGTTGGAGAGAGAGTATTTCAATTCGTTAGAATGATGTTTACATTCTAGTGACTAAGTTTTATTAAAAGAAAAATTTACTCAGTCTTATCTACGGGTTTGATTTGTGACCAAGGGTGGAGAATAGTAAATCAATCTACAAGTTTTAGGTATAATCAGAACACAAGTACATCGTTAGGTACTATTTTAGAGCTTACTAATATTTTAAGGGTTTTAGCCTGGGTCAGCTAAAAGGAAGGGCTCAAGTGAAGGATGAGTAACAGAAGTTCTTCACTGTTTGTCTTATTACTAATGGTTAGTTTTTCTAAATGATTCTGTTAGTCTTGGGTTTTCGATAAGGGTTTGGAGACATTATTGACGTTTGAAGTCGTTAGACATTTTAATTTATGAGGTGGGGAGAACAACGTTGTTCTGATTAATCAAAGGGAAGTTTATTTAAGTTAAATGAAGTTTTATTTAAAGTAAAATTAAAGATCCAAGGAAAACCTTGGTGATCTGCGTTTAAAGAAATTTAAATAATCAAAAATCAGGGATATGCTTTGATAATTTTTTCAAGTAAAAGATATAAGTTAAGGAAAAAAATCATAGATTCAAAATTATTTTAAGGTAGAAATTTTGAATGATGTTAGTTTTTGAATAAATTTGGTTATGTTTTAGTTGATGAGGCGGGGATGAGGAAAAAATTGTTTCTTGAGAACCAAGAAACTTTTTATAAATTTAATAAAACTAACGATAAAATTTCCTACTATTAATTTTTGTTTTTTATTTAAATTTTTTTTGATTTTACGAAAGTTTTCAATTTTAATGTATTGCAAATTTTGAAAGAAACGATTTGTGTATCTTTTTATTGTGTTTTTATATCTTTTTATAATATGGATATAAAACAGCAAATAGGTTATTGAAGAAGTCTAATTATTCTTCAAATAAAACAATTTTCAAGTCAATCAATGAAAATTTAAATTTTCTGAATAGAGGATTCTGAAGACATATACTCTTTGCGATTTGCGTCGTACTATCATGTAGTATCTTATCCATCGTTCAATCTATGTTCACGTCGTGATCTAGATCTTCGTTCAATACCTGGTATTTCTAGTATTGTTGGAAATATTGGCGTAGACTAATTGAGACGTAGAGACATATCTATTAAATTGTCTATACCATCTAACATTTTGCAATTTTGTAAATTTGGTCTTTTCTAATTCTAATTTGCTACATCTAAGTTAGCTAAGGTCTTGTTCGAGGCTTGTGGTCGCACCAGATACGTTTGAAGCCAGGGGTAGCTTACTCATAGATTAATTTCGGATAATATACACTGTCTGTTCGTCACGCTATCTTATTTTCGGCCCGACAGATTTGTGCAACTTCGTAGTCTAATACCAATCCTAATCTTACTCTATATCTCCTAGTCTCAATAGATCTAGTGTATACTGCTAATTGCGAGTTAGTTTTGGAGCTTGTCCAAAAGGAGAACAACTGTAATCTAAGATGTAGTCTGAGAACAACTGTAGTTTCAGAACTACAAATAGTTGTCATTGATAGTGATGGAATATGATTGGTTAATTGGTAATATTTTATAGGGATAGTTTTATCAATAATATAATTGGTTTATAAATACTAGTTCAGAGCTGGTTCCAGTTATTTAAGCAAATAAAAAACTCTTATTTAAATGACTAATTTTTTCGGCTAGTACATATACTCAAGACAAATTTCCGTTGGCTTATAATTCGGCTGGTTTGTTTTATTTCGTGTAGTGGCGCCAGTACTTGCTTAATATCCTTCGCCTTGCTCAGAATATGGAACGAAAATTTTCTTTGTGCCTAAATTGTTATCCATATTTCAATTTCTTGTCCAAGTGGACAGTTGAGGCCAAATTTTGGAAAGCTTTAATTTCTGGAAAACGTTTCTCAGTTTCTTTATTCGAGTAGCCAATATAACACAAGTAATTTCAAATCAAAACAAGTTTGATACTTGTCATAGCTTTGGAATTGAACATTTTCAGTCGAGCCGGTCGCGCCATTACCTTAGGTCGCGCCTTTTCCGACGGTTTTTTGAGTCGCGCGGGTCGCGGTGTTTTTTTTTTCAGTCGCACCGGTCTTCATTGCCAAGTCTCGGTCGAGCCAGACTGGAACTGCATACATAAAGTCGCGCCGATCTGGAATTGCCATGTTTGGGTCGCTCTGGTCTTCTCTTCGCGGCATGATTTTACTCTCGGGTAACCGAGCATGATCATGTCTGAGCATGGTCACTTTTTCCGCGAGTCAAGAAGGACGTTTTTTAAAATATCATATTGAGGAGAGCCCTATATGCTGGGATGATAACTTATTCAACTACTGTCACAATTTAATGTGTGGAATGAAAGTATCAACATCCATAAAAAAAACTCTGCCAAATTTGATTTGCTAGACACCAGTTTTTATCCCAAATCCAATCTGAATTCAACAACGGTTTCATCCATATCTCAAGTACAGGAAGTCTTTGAGGAATGGGGAATGAAGGCATCTTTCCAAATAAGAGCAGGCTGAATAATTTGAGAGCTCATTATTTGTGTTGCTTAGTGTTTTGTAAGAGTTCCACATGACCTCGAGTTATTCCATCTTAGTCGTTTCTAGATCTTTTTGTTTACGGAACTTGAGCTTTTTTCTATGTTTTTTGGTCTGGGTGAAACTCTGCAGCTTATTTAAAACAGACTTGAGCATTTTTTCAAACAATCAAAATTTTTGGCCAAACAATCAAACTTTTTGGCCAAACAATCAAAATTTTTGGCCAAACAATCAAAATTTTGGCCAGTCGACTTAAAATTGTGGAAATGGTTTAAAATCTGATTGAAGGTGATTAGTTTCAGTTCAAGATTGTGAATATAGCCTTTTGGACATAAAAAGTAATAAAGTCCCCTAGCTGATATAAGTTTGGAAAACCTGTGTAAAAGTTACTTTCAAATGTGCAATATATGCTGCACCTTTGAGAGATCTCATTGGTGAGAGTCTCAATTCGCTTTTATGATACAAATATCTTGAGACAATGCCGTTGGGTATTCAAAACTTTAGTGTTATGATATGTGCTGCATGCCAAAAAAGATGGCTTTGAATTTTGCCGACATTTCAGTCGCGATTTTAATCGCTGCTGTTATGGAATAATTAACAAACGTTTAACCGCTTTGCTGGAAGAAAGTCGTGAACAATTTTTACACCTGAATAAGACCCAAACGAGCTTTGCCCGGTTGGTACGAAAGAAAGCTCTATTGTCAGAATAGTGTGAAGAATGAGATCTGTTTTGATTGATTTCATCAATTATTGCAGATTTGGAGAGAAAAAATGCAGAGACAATCTGGTTTCGCTTTTTCTGGAAGACGATGAGTCAAAGCAATCAGTCTCCAATAAGAGGATGATACTTTGCAAAGGTATGATCTGGAACATTTTTCCGTCTCTTAATTTCAACTAATTATTTACACCGGTATTTGCAGTGTACAACGAACAGGGGCTAGAGCTTGAATGTTCTGGCGCTGAACGTGAATTTTAATCTGAAAAATGTTTTTGCGGAGATTATCAAAAGCATCTCATACAGGGACAATTCTAATGTTTTCAATTCACCATAATACTTCATATTTATTTAATTGAGAAAAAACGCTGATCTTTTATTTTCATAAATTTGCTCGCAGTGCAAAATTTTGTCAAAATCAAGTCTTTTCTGAGTTGTGGAGGGACCCGGAAAAAATTTGGCTCGAAAAAAGGTATATCCAATAACTACACCTACAAAAATTTTTAACATTGAACAGAAGCTTTATTATAAAAACATAAAAGAAAATAATTTTAATTAAGCAAATACAAAAATACAAAAATGAATCAACTCATTTGTGTAAACTATTATTGTACTTTACATAAATCTCTCATCAATTTTAGAATGAAACTTCGTGCAAGAATGCCCGAAAGTGATTTGTACCAAATTAAAAAAATTATAAGGCTTCATTTGAACCTGTTTTTGCAGGCGTCGTAAATCTGACGACACTTTGTGATGTTGAGGACCGCTTGAGACAGAATGTTTTTCTGTCGCAGTTCAACGTCTCTCAGGTACTGCATGCTCTCGTTCGCCTCGATCCTCCCTCTGCGTCTCTGCTGTACACTTCTGAACGCACTCTCCTCCAGCTGCATCATCTGGGACAGGGTGTGGTGAGGGAGTGTGAGTGATGCTTTCCTGGGGTACTTAGGGTATCTCCTCTCATAAATCTAAATCCACTAATGCAGGCTCAAAATAGTTCTTTCTTAATTAAAAAAATGGACCAACTTATCAAGACTATCATTTTTTAGTTCCCTCACAGAGCTAAGACGAAATTATGAGCAATTTTCAGTGTTCAATTAATTTCATTATCTAGGCAATTTCTGCAAGTTTGCGAAGTTCATAATTAACAGAAACAAAAGATGAAGTTTAAGTAACCTTTTTGACGAAAAACACGACAACCAGCTCAATCATACTGAATGGCGGAGGACAAAAAGTATTGTGGGTGAACTCTCGCACTAGCCAATACATCTCAGACGTCCACTCGAGGGACGATCTTTGTTGCACTTTCAAAAACACCGACCGATAGAGGGCGATTAACACATTTAGTACCAAAGCATTGCCCGCAAACAACATAAGGGAGAGCATAATCTCGGACATGTATCGTTTCGGGTCTGAATTACAGGCGAGGGAAATGCTGTTGTAGAACTTCTCGCCAAAAAACATGAAGTATGCTTTGAGAAAAACCCACTGTCCGCCCTCATAGGAACCGACTTTGATCTCTTCGTCTTGGCTTACAAACTCGCAGGTGCGCAGACTGCTCAGATGAAGACAGAGACCAAAGCCACACACTAGCACCAGGAAAATGCAGAAGAATATTAGAGTCTGCTTCAACATTTTTCGAATGAAGATCCAAATTGGACCAAGTCGGCTGCTACACTGGAAAAAACGCACCAGTTTCAAAAGAACAGTCAAAACTGACAAACCATAAAATGACTTAGCCAACATAAAGGAGAAGTCGCTTCTGAATCCGAGAATTCGGATAGAAAAGGCTAATGTTGTCGCCACTATTTGAACTGTCTCGATAATATTGAACTCGTTTTGGAGCCATAATTTCACTTTGAGTCGAAATGGCTCTTTTAACTTAATCCAAGGTAAATATAATTGTACAAGATAGCAACAACTTGTAATGTAACAATATACTTCTTCACCACTTGGATGCCCGTTTCGTAAGTCTATGTAAAATAGAGAAAACAAAAGCGCAAAAAATAAGTATGATGAGGAGTGAAGAAAAAATTTGAACGCAGGCGATAGATAAAACAACCTGAGTTTATGACTTTTATAACCTTTTTTGTTGTCAAAAGTTTGGTTTTTAACATCATTATCAGTGGAAAGGTCGTCACATAATCGAAAAGGTAAAATTAAGTAATTAGCAAAGCTTCGAGCATCTAAATGCAAACCGTTGTACCAAAGCTGTCTTAAAATCAATTTTGAAGATCTGAGATCAAGAACTTCCTTGAAACCTGAAAAAGCAGCGACCTCAAAAATGGATTTTCCATTAAACTCTGGAATTTCTAAGAGTAGTAATCTTTTTGTCAGGCCCAGGTGCAAAGTTTCACATTCTTTCAGAACTTCGACCGCCGTATTTAAGCAGTGTGAGCTCAGAGATTGGAAACTGGTTCGATTTAGGTCAAATTTTGCAACCCACTCGCTTTGGATGCGCCATAACTGCGAATACAAAAGGAACGCCATGACTTTGAATTGAGACTTTACTGAATAAAACGAAAACACTTTCGGTTTGTTGACAAGAATAGCCAACAAAGATATGTGCAGAAAGATGAAACTGTTTCCGGAACCTCGGCTCAAATTGACTGGAAAATTCACAGATGCGTACTTTTGTCGTCGATTGCGAGAAGCAACGTCGTTTGAGTTGTTGATAGCAGTTTCGTCGAAATACTCATAACAGTCAAAAGAAATTTCTCTGTACAAACTTTTCACGAAAGATTTATCGCAAACATTGTCCATATTAATTCCTTGGTCCAAGAAGAACTGTAAGACATTAAGGTTTTCATCAAGAAGCAGTTTTCGGAAAGCTAGTTTCAGCTCCTTGTAATTTTCTTGCAAGAGCCTCGAGTTGTCTCGCATGAAATTTTCCAAGTGGGTATTGCACTGTTTCCATTGCAGCATAAAATCGATTTTTTCATTGAGCTTTAGAGGTTTGAGCATAGACTCCAGAACTCTTAGTCCCACATTTACAGTTTTGTTCAAATCATTTTCATGCAAACTGTCAATTGAACACATTGAGACCAAATGAAAGTTTGTGAATATTATTCTGAAACTTCGTTCCAGCAAAGGCGGCAGTTGCAAGTTGTTCATACTTGATGATAGTGGGAGAGAATGGAACTTTTCCATCGCAAGTTTGATTAACTGACCAACAGTTAAATTCGGTGTTTTGATCGTGTCTTGAACTGACGAGACGACCAGTTTAAACAGCCAGTTTTCTGTAGCTTCATGTAGCGACTCGCGAATCATCACACTGACGGACGCTGTCTCTAGAAGTCCACTTAAATAGTCTAGTTCTGGCAGGTCAAAAGCAGTTGCGAAAACAGAAGTGGGAACACGCAATGACGTGGAGAGGAAAGTCTCAAACTGCTCTCTGAACTTGTAGAAGCTCTCCATGTTGTTGCTTGTTAGTTTGAACGTGATCACTGCATTACGAGTGAACTGTTCGTTGCTGCGATGTACTGGAAACAAAAAAAATATCTAAGAAGAAGAGACATTTTGATCATGAATTAATTTTGCTAAACGGAGAGGCAAATGCTGCTCTCGATTCTAATTTTTGAGCAGCAGAAGGCAATCAGACTTGAGTGATTTCTAGTACCAAATTTGAGAAAACTCACAAAATAAAAAACGAAATTTTGTGATTTTATTTTGTAGGATAATTTCTTAACTTTTGTAGGGAAAGAGGAGTTTAAATTGTTTTACCAGATGTTTTCCCTGGCTGTTCTGATGGCGCAACATCTAATTTTTCTGGCTCAGCAGTTTGAAGGCAGATATAAGATATTCGTCGGCCGGTTCTCTCTGGCAATCTGTAACTGATATCATGGTTCTCCGGTGGAAATTGTCTGGATGTTTCGTAAATGACCCAACAGTGGCAGTTGTCAGACATCACTTCCATAACTCCATTTACAAGGTTGAGGGACCTTGAAAAACATAATAATCATTGAAGAGAGGACCGTTGCATGCACTGCAAAAGCACAGAATCTTCCGACCACAGTAACAATTGCAAAAATTTTCGTCTTTAAAGTCTTTAACTATGAAACTTACCTATTACAAAATTATTACAGTACCTTTCATTTTTTAATTTTTTAATTTTTCTTACTGCGCCATAGATCTTAAAGGGCATTAGGATCAATCAGGGCTTCGCCCCTATAGGAGCAGCCCTGTCGTCCATTTATTCCCCACACGCTAATAGGATCTACAAAGGGCTGTATCTAGCGCCTGTCCTATAAAAAGAGATCAAATAGCTTACCTCTGCGCGTTAAGACCAAAATACGTTGCGCGTTTACTATAAAAAAGTGAATTTTACGAAAAAATGATCACAGGTAAATTACCGTTTAAAATTCGATTTTAGAACCACATTATATTTCAGGTGGTATAAGACAATTCCGTCAATTTTGCTTATTTAAAAGTACAAAAACTGACTGAACAAACAAATACCTGCGGCAGCATAAAAATTCGTTTGCTTTGAAAGTCGGCTAAATAACCTAACGAGACTGCTCGTATCAGGGTGAAGCTCTAAATGCTCCGATCACTTTTTAAAGTCTATGGAACAGTATTAACATGAAAAAATTAAATGTAAAACAGAAAAAAAACGATTTTTTTTTTATTCGAGACTTTTTGTAATCATCATCCCCCACGCGCCATATAAAGTAAAAATTGATATAATTCGCTCCTAGCAACAAATCAATTATGTCAAATAAGCTTCCTTCAATTTATTTGGAACAATTTCCAAGACGGAATAATTCTCCGCTTACGCGTTAATAGCCCGAAGTATACCGCGCGTTGATTATCCCAAAGTGGCCAAAATGGCAATCTTTAAACCCCCATTAATTTTACGAATGATGATCACACGTAAAATGACTTCTCAATTTGAAGCTCAAGTCAAAAATACCTTTGAATGATTAAAAATTCCGTCAAGAATGACTAGTTGAAAAGTCGAATTTGTGTGAAGAAAAAAAACCACCCGGGCGCAACTATTCCGTTTCTTTCGTTACTGAAGTCGGAACAAGGATATCGTTGCATGGATTATTTCTAAAGCTACGTATTACTAATTACACAGCTATGTTAACCCTGTGCTATAACAGAGAGGAAAATTTTGAATCCATGGCTCTTTTTCCTTTTCCCCGCCGCCTCACATAAGCATCAATTTTATGGTGTAACGAGGGATGTTACAAGACTATCCATGAAGACCAAATATGTTTGCCATGGCCCAAAGAGTTCGCATAACAATTTTCGTAATATTCGGATGTGAACAAAATTTCAGCAGTAAAACTTTGCAGGTGGGGGGGGGGATTGGAAAAAGAGCCATCGTTGTTTAAAGAGCCATCAGTTGATGAAATTATCAATACCTATTTTCAGTAGCGTATTTGGGGAGGAGGGTCAAAGAGCTGACGCTTTTCCTTTCCTTCAGGAATTCGACTTCATGACTAATTTTGCTGTTTGCTATTATTTAGGTCATTCAGTTTTTTTGCTGAACGACGCTGAAATTTTTTTAAAGGCTCCATTGGCGCCAATATATTTTTATGAAGAAAAAAAGGGCGCCAAAAAACCCAATTTTTTTGTCAGAAACTTGCAAATAGAGGTAAAAAAAAAACTTTTTTTGTTTGTATTTTGTCTGTATTTTTCTTCAAAACTTTGTTTCGGCATTAAAACTTGGACAAAAGAAGGTCTTTACTGTAGCTTTGGAGAGCTTGGAAAGTTAATCTGCTTGATCTAAAGTTTTTTTTGATAATTTAGCATCCCCGCAAATAAAAACCCTAGATATGCCTCGTCTCATTTTGAACCTTAACTATATATCAGTGAATGTGGGATATATCAGTGTTACATGGATCATCAAAGGTTAGCTATCTTCATGGCAAGCGTGAAAACAAGTTTTGTTCCTCGACAGATTTTGTTCTTCAAATTGTTGGCTTGCCAGTCGCGAGTTACAAACTGTTTTTGAAAGAAAAAGCAAATCATTTTGTCTCGACATTGAGAAGTTTTACGACTCGCGGCCTAGTCTCATTGGAAATAAAAGGGTCTCATTAAGATTTTTATCTCGAAGCAATTCGTTTGTAGTATCTTATTGTGCTTAACACTAGCATAATTTTTGAACTTCCTTAAAAATGAAATAAAACTTTGGCTAAGACTTTTGAAATTTACGCGGCTTTTTCCCTAACAACTTATTGATAAAAATTGTCATCCGATACCAATTTTGAATTACATCCACTGTATCACGGGTCGAGGGTTTCGATTTGTTTTTCGACCGACTCAAACCAGTCTTGATGTGTTTGACATTCTTGACCTTCTAAGTTTTGATCATGTTCACCGAGGAAAAGTTTTTCGACGGTTTTCAATCGAAAGAAAAACATTTCAACCGTGCCCGACCGAACAAAAACAGGTCGATCGAGTCGACTCTGTTCAAAAAACAGTCAACTTTGATCGACCGAGAAATAAGGTTTTGACCGTGTTCGACCGACGAAAACATGCTGACCGCGAGCATTACCGAAGAAAAACAAAATAGTTCCTTCGAGTTCGACCATCGAAGTTTTCTGATCGAAAAGACGGTTCATTTAGGAAAAACATTTCAGTTTGACCAATTTCGACCAAGTTAACAAGTGGAAACTTTTTTACCTGGTCGAAAATAGTCGAAAGATGGGTTATATGGGTCTTATATGGGTTCTATGGGTTATATGCTGTTTTTTTGCCGATTCTTTCGAAACATAAATTGCAAACCTCGACCCGGATAGCAATTGATGTAATTGAAAAATGGTATCGAATGAATGTTTTTATCAAAAGTTTTTTTCATTAAATCATGTTCAAAACAGCATGGGCCGCTTTTCACGCCAGTTTTTTGGGTCAATGTTCGACGAAATCAGAAAAGGGCGGATTGGGAGGAGCGTGGTGGGGGGATGGACGCATTTCATTCCCTCGGGAATTCGACCCCCTGCCGACACGTACAAAATGATTTAGGAACAGTTTTTGGATCTATTCATCTATATCCCCCTTTAGAAAAAGGGGGAGATTCGTTTCTAGGTATAATATTCCCATATGCTTAACCTATGATTTATTTCTGTATAGGAAAGTAATCGTTACTAGGTACCCGAAGGGGGATAATCGTTACTAGGTACCCGAAAGGGGATATTCGTTACTAGGTACAAGAGGGGGATATTGTTGAGGAGATCCCAATTTTCAGTAGATTCAAATTTTAGGCATTGTTCATTATTTTCGATTTTCCATTGAAGAAGAAGAAGAACTTAGGCTTAACTTAGGCTTACCTTATTTAGCTCATTTATGAAACTTTTTTATATTAAAATCTTTTGAAAAATCTTGATTAAATTATTCAAGTTATGCGTAAAATGTTCGTTGCTTTGTTATTCTTGACATTTCTGATAATTAAGTAACCGATTAGCTTATAAAAGTTGACATTTTGCAGTTTTTCTGCTTTTGGACCCTTTCTGCTCTTAGACCCTTCTGCTTATTGACTGGCCACCGTCCAGATTATACTCTATGGTGATACATCATACATCATAATGGTTTTCAAAGAGATTATTATTGAAATTTACCTTTTTCAAAGATGTTAAGTCCTTTTTAGGATTCATAAGGGATCTACTGGATCTACTTAATAATCTCCCCCCTTTCAAGAAAGGGGGCAATTCTTTAGTAGATACAATAGGGGGGGGGGGGGGAGATTCTTTAGTAGATACACTAGGGGAGATGGGGGGGGAGATTGTTAAGTAGATCGGATCTACTTAACAATCTCCCCCCCCCCCCTATTGTATCTACTAAAGAATCTCCCCCCCCCCCCTATTGTATCTACTAAAGAATTTCCATCTTTCTTGAAAGGGGGGAGATTGTTAAGTAGATCCTTCATAAGTGCAAATATAATCCATAATAATGGAAACATTCTTGGCTGTGTAATCCATCATAACTGTTGTTTTTCATGATTTTTTTTGAAACCTTATGAGCAGGGGCGGATTTAGGGAAGGGGGGGTGGGGGGTTGGACGTTTCCCCCCCCCCTCAGGGATTCGACCCCCTGCCGACCCAAAGGGTCCCCTTTGATACTTTTTCAGAAATCCATTTTGACCGACCGACCCTAAAATTTTTCTAAAGGCGCCTTGAGCGCCACTATATACTAACTTTGAGGGGGAGCGAGCGCCAAAAAAAAACGCATTTTTTTTGTCAAAATTTTTCAAAAAGTGCCCAAAAACGGCTTTTTTGACTGTTTTTCAAAAAATTGCCTGCGGCCCAGAAAATTTTGTCAAAGTAGGGGCAAAGATAGAGCTCGAAAAATCAGCCCCCCCCCCCTCCCCTCGAGAAAATCCTAGATCCGCCCCTGCCCCCCTCGAGAAAATCCGCCCCCCCCCCCTCGAGAAAATCCTAGATCCGCCCCTGCTTATGAGTATAAATAAGTTTAAGGATCGAGTATAATGTGAGTCAGGAGCGGATTTAGGGGAGGGAGTGGACGCACCCCCTTCAGGGATTCGACCGTCTGCCGACCCAATGGGTGGGCAAGGGCCCCCTTTGTACTATCTTGAGATATTCATTTTGACTGAGGGACCCTAATTTTGTAAGGGACCCAAACTTGGCTGAGGGACCCATTTTTTCCCTTAGGGACCCTAACTCTAAGTGACACTTATTAATTTTAGGGGGAAGCACTAGCTGAAAAATGCGACTTTTTGGTTAACGTTTTCCAAAAAGTACCTAAAAACGTTTTTGTTTGTCTAATTTTTTATCAATTTGGTCTAGCTAAAAAAAACAGGTCAACAAAACTTTTAAAAAAATCCAATTCCGTTGAGAAAATCTTAGATCTGCCCCTGGATCAAAAACATAACAGTGGAATGAGAATAAGGGCCCATGTAAAAAATCGCCCACCTGAATAGACCAAAGTGAACAATTCCTTACAATTAAATGGCTAATTCAAACAGTAGGGCCTGCATGTGCTATGCTCAATTCCAATTGGCTGAAAAATATTATTGTTAACCATAAGTGAACGATCTCCTCCCTAATCTGATTTTGAAGGAAGATTTTTCACTTGGCCCAGAATGCGTCATAGCAATTTTTTGGACTTTTTTCGCCTGCTCGACCGGGGAGTTTTGGTCCTACTCTGCCATGTGTTGGACCCGCCTCTGTAGATAAATGAATTGCAAACCTCGACCCGGGCAAGCAAGGTCCATTTGCTGCAGTTTAATGAAGATTTGAACTTTTTGCTAAAACTCACCAGTCGCTACCAAGGAACGACAGCGCCAGATTTGGAGTCGGAACTCTTAATCCATCGAGGATAGAATGGAAGAGACATCCTGGGTCGGAGTTGGAGTCTACCGCAAAATGAACCACCCCTCCGTCCATAAAGTCAATTTAAGGCAGGAACAATTAAACCAAAATGACTTATCTCATTGGCTCTACGAAATAATGCCAGTGTTGTATCTTTTCAGTAGTAAAGTAAGTAGCAATTGCATATTCTCTAGTAGCATAAACACAATTCACGCTAAGCAGCCTTGATTAACTTCAGAACTACTTTTGAAAATTGGTTTTTAATGCTTGTTGATTACAATAGCGAAGCAGATAAAATAATTAAAAACTATCAAACCATAGTTGCCATTTCGTAGTTTTTAATGATAACAAATCTTTTAAGAAGAAAAATGAAAATGGAATAGTCGAAAATGAATTTCGCAGGTATTTTTTTCTATATATCTTTCCAAAGTGCTGTACAACAGGCCAGAACAAAAATTTTTATGGCTCGCAAATTAGAAGATTAATAACTCGCATGAAAATTGTACATTGAATTAATTTTATGTTCTTCAACTTCTTTGAGATTTATAACCGCGTTCAACATTTGAGCACAAGTTAAGACGAAAAATTTGAAAAAGCTATATGAATGCGAACATGAATGGCTCTGAACAAACTAAAATTAAATGTTTGTCAAGCTGTTTTACCATTAGCAATTACTATCGGTTACCCGAGTCGAAGTAACCCAAGTCGAAGAAAAGACCGGCGCGACTATCGGTTACCCAAGTAAAAAAAAAGACCGGCGCGACTTCATAAATTGGCATGTGCAGACAGGCGCAACTTAATTGGCACTTAAAGACGGGCGTGACTGAAAAAAAAAACTCAGGGCGACCGGCGTGACCCAAAAACCGTCGGGATCGGCGCAATATAAGAAAATGACTCAATCAGCGCGACTGAAATGAGCCAACTCTGAACCGTCGCGGCTAAGAACAAAAAACCGCGACTGAAGAGTTTTCTAGAGAAACAGCTTACGAGCTTAAAAAATTAAACGTTCACGAAAAACACAAAAAGTTTTGCAAAATTTAGTTAAATCCAAGCGCATATGAACAATCTTCCCCCTCTCCCAAACTCACCAAAAAAACTACTCCCTCCCCTCCCCACAACTTGATAAATTTAGGCTACTATTTTAAAAAACTCTCTTTTCGAATCGAAACAAACAATTTAGTCAATTTTGGTAATTCCAAGCATTTCTATTGCGTTTGTTAATTTTGGGCCAGTACATATTTTTTTGTTCCGACGAGAAAAAATGGCGTACATTTTTTTTTTGATTTTTTGTTTGATTTCGAGCTACAATAAAACAAGTGAGCAAGGTTGTAATAGATTATGACTTAACTGAATAGAAGCTAGCTACATTAGTTGTCAAAAACTCTTCTAGCCCCATCTTGGAAATGAAAATTTTGAGAGCGAGCCAACAAATTTCTGCAAAAACTTTGAAAAAAAAATCGAAAAATTGATGCAATTGAAGAAAAAAAAAACACTTTTTTTGTAGATACTTTCATCAATATGGTCGGAACATTCTGTGCTACTTGCACAGCAACTATCCTTATTGACAATTTGCAGAGGTTAACGTGCTGATAACAGAAGAAGGTGTATAAATTTATGTACAGAAAAATTTGAAATTAGGTAAGCAAAAAAATTGTGTCCGCTAAGTTCATGAGAAATTTCGGCTAATTCAGCAAAAAAGTATTAACTAAACTTAATTTTTGACCTTTTCTATCAAAAGTATTGATTTTTGATTTGTTAGAAGTTTGCATCAGTAAGTTTGGGAAAACGCGAAAAAATCAAGTTAATTTTCTTCCCCTTAATCAAATTGAGAGGAGATTTTCACATGTTCAAAAATCCAAATCATGGTTTTTCAGGTGCATCAAAATGTTTCCAATTAAAACTTTTATTTCAAAATTTGGTTCAAAGATGTTTAACAGTAAAATCTGACAAGAGAGTTTTTTCAGCATCATTACATGAACCGGTAGTTGACTTGCGTAAATTATAACATGAAAAAAATGCACGATTAAATGTTTCTAAATAAAAAGGGATCTAATAATTCATATTATTTTAAGTTTCAATAATTTCTGAAGTAAAAAGATTAAAAAATTTATTCTGATTTAACAACTAAAATTCGAATAGATTCATCATTTTTGCTGAAAACTTGGAGGTTGACAATCCTGCCGTATGCTTCAAAAAGGTTCAAATGTGTTCACTTAGTACGACAAAATAAAAAATTTTAAATGTCAGCTCGTTTAGGATTTGGAAGGTGTACCAGCAACAAATGTTTTGGTGCGGGTTGTGCTTTTGAAGCGTTTTTGTCCTTTCCAGTGGATATTAAAAATGAAAGTCGATGGATATAACAAATTATTTTAAAATGAAAATAGTAAATTAGCAGAATAGCCAAGCAGGCGTCGTTTGCTTAAAGGAAGTTCTCTGGTCTCAACTAGCTTTAAATACTTACCAGAACTTAAACGGAGTTGATCCTATCAAAACTTGTTTGTCAAATAAGATAATCATCACGCAAACTGTTCATGGTACAGGTATAAAAGCTTTATGAAGCATTGACCTAACTTGTGATAAACACGACGTTCGAATTATTGCAGCCTCCCCCTTATGTTGCAATTATGATTACGATATTTCAATTGTTAAAACTTTTTGTTCCGAATTTTGATACGAAACTTACGGAATATTTATGCTCGGGGTGGGTTTTTTTTTCTTCAGACAAATTTCGACTTTTTAACTAGCCATTTTGACGTTTTTTTTAAAAAAAAATCATTCAAAAAGTATTGTTTTCCTGAGCTTAAATTTGAAAAGATAATTCAGTTGTGATTGTTTTTCGTAAACTTATGGGGGTTTAAAGACTGGCGCTTTGGCCAATTTGGGACAATTAACGCGCGATATATTTCGCGCTATTAACGCTAAAGCGTAGATATAATCCGTATTAGAAATTGATCCCAATTGGTTGAAGGAAGCTTGTTTTTCATAATTGATTTGTCACTAGAAGCAAAATTTATCACTTTGTTCTTTATATTGCGTGTGGTGGGATAATTTTCACAAAAAAAATCAAATTTTTTTACAATTTTTTTTTCATTGAATTTTTCCAAGTTACTACTGCGTCATTGACCGTAAAAGGCAGTCGGAACATTCAAGGTTTCACCCTGATACGAATAGTCTGGTTGTGACTTTAGTTGATCTGCTGTCCTCTTTTAAAACGATGCCAAATATGAAAATCTATTCCAATTTTTTGATGGACATTGCAATTTTGTGATTTTGTAAAAAAAAAGTAGGTTTTTTGAGTTTTTGTTGGCGCGGGTTGTGTTTTTGAAGCGTTTTTGTCCCCTCCAGTGGATATTAAAAATGAAAGTCGATGGATATAACAAATTATTTTAAAACTTCCCTTTATAATCAGAGAAATTTTGAAAATTTCAAAAATGAAAATAGTAAATTAGCAAAATAGCCAAGCAGGCGTCGTTTGCTTAAAGGAAGTTCTCTGGTCTCAACTAGCTTTAAATACTTACCAGAACTTAAACGGAGTTGATCCTATCAAAACTTGTTTGTCAAATAAGATAATGATCACGCAAACTGTTCATGGTACAGGTATAAAAGCTTTATGAAGCATTGACCTAACTTGTGATAAACACGGTGTTCGAATTATTGCAGCCTCCCCCTCATGTTGCAATTATGATAACCATATTTCAATTGTTAAAACTTTTTGTTCCGAATTTTGATACGAAACTTACGGATTATTTATGCTCGGGGTGGGTTTTTTTTTTCTTCAGACAAATTTCGACTTTTTAACTAGCCATTTTGACGTTTTTTTTTTTTAAAATCATTCAAAAAGTATTGTTTCCTGAGCTTAAATTTGAAAAAATAATTCAGTTGTGATTGTTTTTCGTAAACTTATGGGGGTTTAAAGATTGGCGCTTCGGCCAATTTGGGACAATTAACGCGCGATATATTTCGCGCTATTAACGCTAAAGCGTAGATATATTCCGTCTTAGAAATTGTTCCCAATTGGTTGAAGGAAGCTTGTTTTCCATAATTGATTTGTCACTAGAAGCAAAATTTATCACTTTGTACTTTATATTGCGTGTGGTGGGATAATTTTCACAAAAAAAAATCTAATTTTTTTTTCAATTTTTTTTTCATTGAATTTTTCCAAGTTATTACTGCGTCATTGACCGTAAAAGGCAGTCGGAACATTCAGGGTTTCACCCTGATTCGAATAGTCTGGTTGTGACTTTAGTTGATCTGCTGTCTTCTTTTAAAACGATGCCAGATATGAAAATCTATTCAAATTTTTTGATGGACATTGCAATTTTGTGATTTTGTAAAAAAAAAAGTAGGTTTTTTGAGTTTTTCCGTGAATTTTTCTGCATTCGTAATGTAGCTTCAACATAGTTTTCTGATATTCAAAGTTCTCATACTTTTACACAAAAATGATTTGAATTTAGTATAAAATTAACCATTACCTGGTGGGGCGGAATAGGGGTTTTTGCCAAGGGGTAATTGAATGATTATCTTACGATTTTATTGCGAGTTATCGCCTTTCGCGAGTTTATGTAATTGACAATTTGAACTAGTTGTTTTTTTGTTGAATTGTATGTTTGCGCGAGTTATCATGATATAAGTTTTGTAATCCAAGGTCGCATGGAACGAAAAGTGAAAACAATACACTAACTAAAACCACAATGCAAATATATAAATGCAACAAATTTTAAACTCAAAATAACTATAAGTTTTTTTTTCATTAAGGATTAACTCTAAACCTAGTTGCATTGTCTCTCACTTGTGTTTTCCTCTCACAAAAACAGTACTGATTTTCAATTTCTCTCCTTTGTTACTCCTTCCTTTATTTCTTTCTTTTGGTTTTCGTCGTTTAGAAGTCCAACATCTCTGCTCTTCTACCCTTTGTTTCCAACAAGGTAGAGGGTCTACATTAGTTTCCCTATTTCTGCAGAAGCTGTTGTGGGGGCACAACATTGCATTGCTTTCTAGATCTTTCTTCAAAATTTCTTCTCCTTCTATCCCGTCACAATCATTCGTTTTCAACGTTTTCTTCACTGCTGTAGTTACTGCATTCTGATGAGTCACAAAAGCTCATTTGAAAGCTTCTGATCCTATGCCCATCTGATAATAACTGTACACTCTGCTGTTTTTCGACATATGCTTTTTGGCGTACTCGTACATCCATCAGTCGTCTTTTGGCCCGTATTTTCTTCACTTCCATCGGAATTTTCAAGATTTTGCGCATTGTCTCAAAAAGATCTGAATCTTTTAGACAATCAAGTTCCTCTAATTGCTCTTTGGTCGGTGCCTCTTGCCGATTGTTAACCATGATCACCCAGCCATCGAATTGCCATCATAACTCCGATTATGACTATTGTTACGGGCTTTGATGAGTCTGGTAAACCTATGGAGAGCTGCTCTCTATATCAAAACCAGACTACTTCGCCCGGTATACCACCATGTTTGTCGCAAAAAATGGCATGACTACTCATCATGTGTCAACATGACGCTCCTCCAATTTAGTTTTCAT